AAAAAATGCTAAAAAAGTGGGCGTGGTGCGCAGCGGAGCGGAGGAGAGGTGAAGAGGGGAGACAGACAACACACACAGCTTTGCGTTCAGACCGTTTCATTTCGCTCCCATAGAGTTAAAAACACATAAATGCACAGCCATTTGCACTCTGCATCGAAAACATACATATGAACGCGCTGTTGCACCTCCGAGAACTTTTAAGGCTTATTCTGTGGCATTTATTGCCTTTTGATGGATTGTGTCACAGAGCTGTAAAAACGGTTATGCTTACCAAGTGAATGAATCGCGTTTGTGCCGAACTCTTATTACAAAGCAAAAACACTCTTCTTCGACCCACGAACGTTTCGAGAAGGGTCTGGCTGCAGACTTGCACTTGCACACATTCTCAGACTTGCACTTGCACACATTCTCAGACTTGCACTCGCAGACACTTGCGCTTCCGCTAGTGACATCCAGGGCCGTAGCTGGGGTTTGCGGGGCCCCAGTGCAGGTTTTTGCTAGTGGGTCTTGTTTGAAACGGTTTCATTTGCATGTTCGTTCTATTTATTTATTTGTGCTATTTACAATGTTTAAGTTTTTTCAAGTTTGTAGGTGTCCAGGTACAGAAACCGAATAATCAAATGTAAAATAGCACTGCATAGTCTTCACTGTAAAAAATTAAATATAGTCAAACCAAAAATTATTCAGACACCTTCAACATTTCTCACATTATCACAGTTTATTTGCTATAGTTTAGAAAATGGTAATAAAATATGATCTTGATAATGTCAGATAACTTTGATATAAAGGTATGTAATGGATTACAATCAACCAAAAATTCAGACAACTGTTAGTATGACAATATTTACACATCAATATTTTGTTGACCAATTACCAAGCAATGCTTAATTTTGTTCAGTCTTTGGTGTAAAAAGGTCGCATTCGCAATTAAAGAAAAAACTTAAAGGGGTCATATGATGCGATTTCAAGTTTTCCTTTCTCTTTGAAGTGTTACAAGCTCTTGGTGCATAAAGAAGATTTGTAAAGAGGTTCAAACAGACGATTGTGGAAGTGGTTCGACCAAATGGACGCAATCTACAGAGGTAGACCAACGAGCATTGGGAGGGAGGGTGCCCTGGACTCGGCCACGCCGTTGTTGGAGAACACGATCGAGGATGGTACGTTGTGTTATGTTAACTAAAATTTAACGCTTGAAAGCTTAACTGTACTGACTTTGACCGTTGATTCCTATTTTATTTTTTTATTTTCACTGTAAAATCATGGCAATGAAGCACAAAGTCCTAAACACCGCAGGGTGTGGTCACAGGTATAAAACAAATTTGATGTATTTCATATGTCATAATATGTACATATAGGATATATATCGTTATATACCGTGTGTCATGAATTCCTGTTGCTTACCATAAATACATTATTGGTAGCTACTGTAAATGTGATGTTTACTGTAAATGTGATTTCTAACTATTTTCTTCATTTTGGACCAGGCAAGCGGAAACGGAGCCTGCACCATGTGTTTTTGCACCTTTTGTACTTTGATAACGTTTAAATTTATTTTTGTTGTATTTATGTCTTTTGTATATCCGTTTTGCACTACATACATTTGCACATTGTTTAAAGTTGGCTGCTTACATTTTCACTTACATTTTTTTCATGTATCAGACAATTGTTTACAGTTCTTGCACAAGGTACACTGCCACATTGTTTCTGCTGCTGGTGGTAAATCCCAAGCATTCACATAGGCCACTCCATGACTCCCACAAAAGGTTATGTAGAGCACAACATGTCAGCACCATGGATTTCACAAGCTTGACAGCACAGTCATTTCATTTCATAAGGCATCGCCATCTTCCTTTTAATCGACCAAAGGCATTTTCAACAACTACGCGTGCTCTGCAGATTTTCATGTTGTAGACCTGCTGTTCTGCTGTCAGGTGTCCAGTGTCAATGAATGGTTTTAAGAGCCAGTTCTGCAAGGGATAGGCAGAGTCTCCTAGGATGTAGTAGCCAGCAGTCACCCCACCTATGTTTCTGGTGTTAGCTGGTATGTGGTTTCCACGGCTTGCCAACTCCCACAGTGTTGACAGTCTCAAAACCCGAGCATCATGCAGGCTTCCAGGCAGTCCTGTGAAAACATTCCAGAAAAGTCCCTTTCCATCCACAACACCTTGAAGGATGATGGAGTGCCAGCCTTTACGGTTGAAATAGTCACAGTGATATTCCTCTGGTGCTATGATGGGGATGTGTGATCCATCAATAGCACCAATACAGTGTGGGAGTCCCCACCTGTTCTCAATGTAGGCAGCCATTTCTTTAAACTTTTCTTGACTTGATTTGCTATGCATACTGCAATTAACAATTCGCTTATAACGTGATCTGAATTCTATGATACAGCTGCTACACTCCATGAAAGTACTATAATTGCTGTAAGCCCAACTAAATACACAAATAGTACATTCCAGTTCAAGAGTATCCTACTATTAACTACATTGTACATGGGCTACTGATTGGAAATTATTTATTATTAGAGGTAAGGCTGTGTTGACAGTATGACGTTTATGAAAGAGTTATACGGGTTCACCTTGTCTTAAAACTGTGAAACGCCAACTGCAAACCAACCCCACTAGTGAGGCGTGCATCTGAAGGCAATCTGTTCGCGGTTAATGTAGAAATGAATGCCCACAGAAGATATTAAAAGCATTGGAGATTTCGGGCAAAAAAGGTAATCCCCAATTCACTTTACGGTTCTAAAATCCGCGACGCTTGACGTTGTATTCTCACTTACATGAACTAGGAAAAGTGCTTGCTGCTGCTGCTAATGCCACTGCTGTTATATGAACAATACATGCTTAGTAATTACTCCTCACGCGAACAACCTGCACGTAGTTTTACAACTTGTATGTTTTCTAGTTTAAAAACGTACATCTGACGAACGCAATAATGCACAGAAAACAGAGTGAAAACCGTTTACTTATCTAGCTGTTGAGTTTCAAAGAACTCTGAAAGTGCGCTGCAGGAATCTCAAGTGAATGCTAGCCAGCCATATAAATGCAAGGCAGTAAGCTCATTGGCTGCATATGCAGCATGAACCAATCAGCTTGTGCCAAGTCGTTTAACTCTCTGAATATCATCAGTTACGTTAACACCTCGTCAGAATGCGTGATTTTTCTGTACATTTCTGCCATATGTACATTAACTGACAGTCACCACTGATAAGCTACCACTAAATATTGTAGAAACTTAATTTGCTGTAAAGTCGCTTTGCAATGATTTGTATCGTGAAAAGCGCTATACAAATAAACTTTAATTGAAAAATTGAATTGAATTATAGTAGCGCTTGCTGTTTGTCCTTTCTCCGATCACAAATGCAGACATGGTTTTATGTTTACGCGGCGCGATGCAACACGTAAAAAGACAGTATAAGTCATTATAATCCGTAATTATGTCCCCACTGGATGCAACAAATGCCTCGTTTATGAGCTTTGTAAAAATCGACGCGTTTCAGAAAGGCGGGGCATAGAGGAGAAACAATAATGTACAGTATGTGGAAAATAATGTGTTTTTTTAGCCTTAAACCGCATAAACACATTTCATTACACCAAATACACAAAATAATGTTCTTTTTAGCAACATCATATGACCCTTTTAAGTATCCGATTCTGGAATCGGAATCGATTTTCGATTCCCAACCCTACTTAGTACAGTACCATTCAAAAGTTTAAGGTGCATTAGATTTTTTTTTTCTTTTTCTAAATCCTGAAAAAAATCACTTTTCAACAAAAATATCAAGCAGCACAACTGTTTCCAACATTGATAAAACAACATGGAGTAATGTCAGAAGAAAATAGAAATAAATGACATTTTAAATATATTAAACTAGAAACTAAGTAAATTGTAATAATATTTTGCTGTATTTTTTATCAAATAAATGCAGCATTGGTGAGTTGATTTGATAAGGGATTTTATTCAAAAACATAAAAAAATCTTACCAACCCCAAACACATTTCCCCCCCACCACATTTCATGCAGATTTTTAACAAACTGCAAGAGGATCAAATTGCTGACCAACCTGTGATTTTTTCCACTTCCTTCTCTAAAAGTGGTGCAGTGTCACTGTCTTGGTCGTCTGCAATCGAGTTAATGGAGTAACCCCTTTTGTAGTGCTATTATTGCAAAGGTCTAGGTGTAAGTTTTGGACTGAACTTGAGTTAGTTTAAGTATGACATCCACAAATCCTGAAACAAAAACAAGACATTTCAGATAATGCAATTGATGTAATTTGTGTTTTGTCAGAATCCATAAGCTTTAATCTATTTGAGGTGTTGTTTCATCAACAAATCAATAATCGTGGGATCAATGCTGTTTATTTAGTTTTCATAAATTTCTGTCTAGTTCTCCACATCAGTGTTTGATATCATCAGTCCATTTTCTATTGGTTCTTCCTCTTCTGTCTGGACCATCCATCATGCCATCCATATGTTTTGAATATTTCTTGTTAAATGGTTTTTGGTTAAAAGAAAAACAATAACAATACTCACTTGGAGGTCAACTGTATCTACCGGGAAGCCCAAACCTCTTGTAGCACCTTGCTGAAAATGTCCAAGCACTATAGATAATGTAAAATACTGTATCATGTAGGTTTTAAATTCCCATTATCTCTAGTGTAGAACTTAAAGGCACAATATGTAAGAATTTTTTTTATTAAAATATCCAAAAACCACTAGAACAGTGTTATATATTTTGCTGACTTGTGTACTTGCATTATCCCAAATGTTTCGAAGAATGTTTAAATCCAGAGAAATAAGCAATTTTAACTAGTGACACGGACCGTGTCTATAGTTTCATTCTTTCACCTGCCAATGACGTCATAACCCCTCGATTTCCGGTTTTGTTTTGTAGAAAACATGGAAACACCAAAGATGCTTTAATATGTTGTGCGTTTTAATAGACCGGTGATGACCGCACAGAGTAGCATTTAACAGAACTTTCAAATGTATCTAGTATGATAAAACAGCGCTGTTTCCCCCCACCCCCACCCCCACATACGCACGACCAGAAGGAGCGGAAGCGGTCGATTGTGGCATAATAAAAGCTCCGCTGCTTTCGAGCCGTGTGTCACGCTCGTTCAGCGGCCTCGTTTCGCTTCGACGGCTTTCAGCCTCACCCTGCTTCATTCTACTACGTTAATAAATCATTAGCTCATCCATGAACATGATTTCTGCCCGAGTCCCGTCGGATTGCTTCGGCTGTGGGGATGAAGACGACAACTCCCATGATTCCACACTCAGTCACGGCATCATCAAACTAGCCTTTGCCTCTTTGTTTATTTTGAATACGCTCCCTCCAGCGGCGAAAATTACATATTGTGCCTTTAAGCACATGACAGCATCTGAACATAACGCAGCACAAAGGTTAACAGAACAGATCAGCTGACATAAGCCACAACATCCAACATTTTTATGTCAGTAGCATCAGTGATACAGATGTCACTCTTTGTCTTATGTACCTGAATCCTGGAGAAAATAAAGATGAAATTCAGTTCTTTTACACTTCAAGAGCTACTTTTGGGGCCGTCTACTTGTCTTTACTGGACCCAGCATATTAAATGATTTTTATCCTCTATAGCCACACAAACTGTTTTAATGACTTCTAGAAGTGGTAAGTATTTAATACACCGGGAAACATTAATGCTGCATTTAAGGACAGTCAGCCACATATTAGGCTTGTTTGAGATGAGCAAAATCTGCGCAGAACCGATCACCGCGAGATGCATGCCGGTTAGAAAAGTGTCCGAGTTACGTCCGACTTGCTCTGATGTCATGCTGACGTGTGCCAAAAAACTCTCGCGACGGCGAGGCGGCTGTGTCGGATTGTGCAGTTGCTCTCCACCGACTGCGCTGATCAAAAGCATGATGGGAAACGACTGACTGACGACACAGCTTAATGCTCATTGGTTCAGACAACCGTGATGCTGTGTTCTCTTCTAAAATGTTTTATTTCTTTATCTGGTTTCATGTGATTTAAGTATTTAAATTATGCATGAATATTCCCAAACACTATGACAGTGCGATCTCTGTGTGAGATATGTGATTGTTGTCATATTTCTATAAAAATCTAAAATACATGTTTGTATTAAAGTAAAAATGAATGATAAATACACCTTTCGTATGGAATTAAATAGCAAGCACTTTGAGTGTCTTGTTCATCTGATTTCTTTTTATATAAAAGGCAACAGAACTGAAATTATATCAGCAGCAAAGCACGAGTGAGAATAACGCGATATCTGTCTTTGATCTCGTTGGTATCTGTTCACTTCGAGAGGGCAGAACTGTCCGTCTTATGCCGAGTTCACACTGCACGATTTTCAAAGACGTCGCATCACTGTTGGTTTCACACTGCGTGACTATCTGGGGTAGCATTCAGTTGTTGCTGTGTTCACACTGCAGGATGGATCTGCGACAGGAGGTTACACACTGCATGACTTCACAATAGGAAGAATCGCCGACAGCTCTGTCTGGCTCTCGCCTACATTTCAGGCGAGGCCAGGCGCATCTCAAACAAGCCTATTCTGTTTTGTCTGATCTGCAGCTGTGTTGATCACATGACATCTTGAGACTTCCTGCTCTGGAAAACACCATAGTCTAAACACTCTGGACCGACTGACTGTATATAGTCTATGGACAGGTTTACTACTATGACATATAAGTCTAATATCTGCAGCCATAAACGCATTTGTTTGACGTGAGCAGTGTTTTCGCATGTCATGTGATTGAACAGAAAGTTATCACAGCAAGTACACAATGGCTGTAACTGAAAATATTTGTATTTTTTAGCATTTATAAACATGTTTGTAGCTATTCCTAGCTTAGCGATATCAAGGCTCCCTGGTGTATAATCGCAAATATTAAAAAGGGAAACGATATCGAGGGCCATTGATCGTTAAGTTGCTATGAAACTGTTACTTTATCTTCTTACATTTGATCTGTTTGTGCACCATGAAAATGCTTTTGACATTTAAAAAATGTGTGGCTAGAAGACAGCTGCAGTGCAACGGTCCTCAATGAAACAGCCACTCCTAACTTTACTTTCATGAGTGTTTGCAGGACTGTTAGGAGAGGTGGAGGTGTAGCTGCTCTATTTAAAGGGGTCATATGATGCTGCTAAAAAGAACATTATTTTGTGTATTTGGTGTAATGAAATGTGTTTATGCGGTTTAAGGTTAAAAAAACATTATTTTCCACATACTGTACATTATTGTTTCTCCTCTATGCCCCGCCTTTCTGAAACGCGTCGATTTTTACAAAACTCATCGGTCTGAAAAAGCGAGGTATGCTGTGATTGGCCAGCTATCCAGTGAGTTGTGATTGGCCGAATACCTCAAGCATGTGGCGGAAATGTTACGGCCCTTACCATATTGTGATG